GCGCTTGCATGGCAGGTCACCAAAAATCTCTTAATAAAAAAAAAGTTTCGTGGTGTTTTGAGGGGAGATCGCACGGGGGATTTTCTTTTAGCCCGGGTTCTCCCCTCACTGTGTGTGTGTCTTTTGCTCTCGCTCGCTCGTTCTCTCACACACTTTCACTTCTTTGATCTCAATTCACAAAATATCTCAGATCCAGATCACAAAATATTTTGAATTGATCCAGATCTTAGGATCAGCGAGTCGGATCTGGAGTCAAATCTAATTCCTACATCATATCATCCGTGGAGACGAAAGGTACCTTTAATCTTGAGTTTAATTATTCGCATCATATAACTCATTTGNCCCCCCCCCCCCCCCAAGTATGCATTGACTTCAAATCGCGTTTAGTTTTTGCTCATGGAGAAATTGATCAATAGTAATTCAGATTTGACTTTGCGAAAGTATTATATCGGATAAGTATGAATTATTTTTCAATTGCGTTCTCAGTTATAACAATGCTTAACAGTTGACTATTTTCAGCAACGAAACAGAGCTTTTATGTACTCTATATTTATCTACTTTTTTATTTGTTGTAATGACCATCATTATGAAATATTGTATTCACGCATTGTTTTATATATATTTTCATAAAGAACATTATTGAAGAATGACTTCGCCATATGCTGTTAGTATATTCTACTGTATTTAGGATATTTCTAAGAGGGCCTTTTGACGACTTTGGGAGGCAAGAGCTTAAGTTGGGGGAATGATGAAAGAAGCTTTTTTTCATGTTCAAGCTTATGAAGGTATCTAGTGGACATGTAACGTAGCTGACTTTTGGTATCTTTCGGGCACAATTTGATTGTGTGCGCTCTTTTTTCTTTATTGAAGGTTATAACAGTAGTTGATAATTTAAAAAAGCTCTTGAATATTGAGCTAACAATCTACGAATAATTGTATATCTTAGGCAGAATGTTTGCTTTAGACTCTTGCGTATACTATGATGGGATTATATGAGATGATGGTAATTTCAGATTTTTATTTAAGCAGTGTTTTTTATTTTACTTGCAATCATGGTTTTACTGTAAAAGAATATAAAATCTGTAGATGTTGGTACAAACATAACATGTTTAAAGATGAACTTATATCTTATTTGGACATTGTCGCTCTATCGTTGTTAGGATGTTATCATGATGCTTCGAGTGGAGAATGGTTGGAGCAACAAATGTTAGTCCCTGAGCTTAACAAAATGTGGGCAAGGTTTGTGTTAGTAGATCTGTAAGCTCAAAACGGTAGAGCTCTCGTTATGAGAGGGTGGTGGTTCGAATCCACCCAGATCTGTCTCCTTTCTGCTACACTTTTTTCACCCTTAATGCTTTCGTTTTTGTGTACACTGAAAGGGATTATTCGAGTTAGATGAGTCTGATCTGTCTCTGTTATTGCTAAATACTAATAGGGTAAGTGGAAAGCTACATTGCTCTGAAAAAGGACCTCTTTTTGCGTTTGCAATTGGCTCGAGGGAAAGAGGAAATTGGTCGTCGGTAAAGCAGTGGTGTTTTATTAATCAACTATGTGATTTGGATTCCAAGCAACTAAGCAACGACTTTTATTCACTCAGAGCCCAAGAAAGATCGAGATAGTCACACTTGTCTTTGTATCTGTTGAAAAGTCTTACCTAATTTTTTTAATTTTAATTTTGGGTCAAAGCTACCACCAATATTCAACCATGGTTATGTATTTGCTTGGTTTTGTAGCGGGA